TGCACCAGCGAACAGAAAGTGACATGTGCAGTGAGAAAGAAAGTGACCGGTGGAATGTCAGTCAGTCAGTGGGGGACAAGGCTCTGTTAATGAGCCCGACTGCCGAGGGGAAGAAACTGTTCATGTGGCAGGAGGTCTTAGTCCTGATGGACCTCAGCCTCCTGCCAGATGGAAGGGGCACAAACAGTTTTTGTCCGGTTTGAGAGGGGTCGGCTATGATCTTTTTAGCTCGCTTTAGGGTTCTGGAAGCGAACAAGTCCTGCAGGGACAGCAGATTGCAGCCGATCACCAGCTTTGTGTTTGTGTCCCGTCTTACGTCTGATCTTGATACTTCCTGTTTTATTGTGGCGTCTCAACCCCCTCTCGTTTCAGGTGCCTTGCCCTTCCTCAGGTTTCTCCTGTCGCTTGTCTCCCCTGATTCCTAATTGTCACCCTCCCTCATGGATACTTATTGTCTGCGTCTCCCTTTGTCCTGTGCCAGTGTGTCTTGTAGTCGTACATGTCCACACCCGCGTTCGTATTAGTTTGGGAAGAGATCATTGCAATATTGTATTATTAGATATAGGATTAATTGGATTATTGAACTATGGGATTTATGGAATAAATCTCTAGCAGTCAACCCTCTCTGCGTCCTTATCCTCCAGGCCAGTATGGATTTGGCAGAGCGGGACCAGCTGACTGCAGCACTGTGCGCACAGGCCTCTCGGCTGGCGCAGCAGGAGGACTTAGTAACGGGCTTAGATTGAGGAGTCAGGGGTCTGGCCCACAGCCAGGAGGAGTTCAGGACCACCGTGTCGGCACAGTTGGGACTTCTCAGCTCCCAGATGGAGCAGATTCTCACCCTCCTCTCCAGGAACGCAGCTCTGGCGCCCGAGCCATCTCCAGCCCCTCCGGACCTCTCCACCGGGTCCACTCTTGAGGACACCGGCGCCAGGTTGGCACCCCCGGAGCGTTATGACGGAACCATCGGAGGGAGTAGATCATTCCTCACGGAATCCGAGGTGCATTTTGAACATTCTCCCAGTCATTTCCCCACAGAGCGGTCCAAGGTCGCGTTTATAATGTCGCACCTCACGAGAAGAGCGAAGGCGTGGGCCACTGCGGAGTGGGCTCGGAACTCGGCAACCTGCGCGTCATCCAGGCAGTTTTCCAACGCTTTGAAACTTGTCTTCGACCCAGGGGCGACCGACCGGGAAAGGGCCCGGGAACTCAGTGAGATTAAGCAGGGGGGCGAGTCGGTGTGTGATTACGCCATTCTTTTTCGCACCATGGCGACAGAGAGCGGGTGGCACACCACGGCTCTATTCAATGTTTTTTTAAAGGGACTCTCGGAACAGATCCAGAACCTTATGGTTCCATTGGACCTCCCCCCTGAACTCGACTCCCTCATCGCCCTCGCCATCCGCACTGACAGCCGGTTGCAGGAACGGAGGCGGAAGCGTGGGAGTCGGTTTACGGCGCCGGCACTTGGCCGCCCAACGGCACGCAGGAATGTCGAACCCCAGCGGACCCCGCCGGATCCCCGTATTCGATGTCCCTTTGAAGGGGACGAGGAGCCCATGCAGATGGGCAGAACCAGGCTCGGAGCGGGAGCGGCGATATCGAGAGGGTCGGTGTTTTTATTGTGGATAGCGTGGCCATCTCGCCAACGTCTGCTACGGGAGGGGTAACCAGCCGGTGAGTGACGTCACAGAAATCACTCTCACCCCGCGACGGCTCACCACAGTTATGACGTGCCCGACTCCACCTGCAAGTGGATCACTGACTTTCTGTCTGACAGGAAGCAGCACGTGAAGCTGGGGAAACATGTCTCAGCCTCTCGGACCATCACCACCGGTTCCCCCCAAGGCTGCGTTCTTTCCCCTCTGCTCTTCTCCCTGTACACCAACAGCTGCACCTCCAGCCACCAGTCCGTCAAGCTCCTGAAGTTTACGGATGACACAACCCTCATTGGACTAATCTCTGGTGGGGACGAGTCCGCCTACAGGTGGGAGTCTGACCATCTGGTGTCGTGGTGCAGCCAGAACAACCTGGAGCTCAACGCTCAAAAGACAGTGGAGATGGTTGTGGATTTCCGGAGGAACAGCGCCCCACCCTTCCCCATCACCCTGTGCGACTCCCCCGTCACTATTGTGGATTCCTTCCGTTTCCTGGGCCATAGCCTTATTACTAACCCATAGCCTTACTACTAACCCATAGCCTTATTCTACTAACCCATTGCATTAGCATTTCATTCCACTTTATTTTATTACTTGTGCACTGTTGTCTTGTCTGTCTACTGTCGCGCACTAATCGCCAAGACAAATTCCTTGTATGTTTGACATATTTTGGCTAATAAATGATTCCTGATTCCTGAAATCATCCATGTAAAGATTGAATAGGAGAGGAGACAGAATCCCACCCTGCCGCACACCACTGGATACATAGAATGGGGTTGACAAACTCATCCCCCACCTGACTTGCATAGTTTGGTGAGAGTACCAGAACATTAGGTAAAATTAGTTAGTTTAGTCCTGAAGAGACTCCTGGAGAATCGTTTATATGTTAAGACGGAGAAGTGTGAGTTTCATGTGTCTTCTGTGAGTTTTGGGTTTCATTGTGGAGAAGGGGCAAATCCAGACAGACCCTGCCAAGGTTATGGCAGTGGCCGACTGGCCTACTCCTACATCAAGGAAGCAACTACGGAGGTTTCTCGGGTTTGCCAATTTATTCCGCAGGTTCACCCGGGACTATAGTAGAGTTGCCACACCCACCAGCCACCGGTAGCCAGTGAAGAGAGCGGAGGAGTGGAGTAGTGTGGGAGAATTTCGGAAGGTTGAAGACCAGTCGAGCTGCTGCATTCTGAATGAGCTGCAGAGGTCGAATGGCGGTGGCAGGGAGACCAGCCAGGAGGGAGTTGCAGTAGTCCAGGCGGGAGATGACAAGAGCCTGAATCAGTACCTGCGCTGCCTTCTGAGTGAGAAGGGGACATATTCTTCTGATGTTGTCGAGCGTGTATCTACAGGATCGCGTTGTCGTGGTGATGTTGGGAGAGTTGGCTGTCGAGTGTGACGCCGAGGTTCTTAGCGGTCAAAGTGGGCGTTAGCACGGAGTTTCCAAAGTTGACGGTTCTGGGTAAGCGAATCTTTTCTGGGAAAGAGAAGTAGTTCAGTCTTGTCGGGGGTTGATTTTCAGATGGTGGGCGGACATCCACTGAGAGATGTCAGTTAGACAGGCAGAGGGTGGACAAGCCAGTTCCACAGGGGTTGTCCCCCGGCCAGGTTGTTTGTTCCAGAGGTGGTGAGGTCTCCTGTCCTGCAATGGGGACACGCCTCCCGGATTGCCTGCCATCCTGGTTTTCGTAGAACACTGGCACCCTCTTCCCATCCCTCACCGCCCGTGGTCGCATGTAGAGTAGAGACATCAAGGCAGTCCAACACAGTCCTCCCGCCACCCTATAATTTCTCCCGTTCTCCAGTTCACTTGGGGGTTGTGGTGAAACAGCCATGGCTGTCCCTAAACCAGTGCCTGAGGAGGTGATTTGAATAAATAAAAAGAAATGTTGTCTTTATGACAGTTTGTGTAATTTGAAAGGTTCAGAGATGTGAGTGACTGTCAACAGTTCCATTCCGTTAAGAGCCTTGGCTTTGATAGGCTTTACCAAGAGTTCAGATTTGATACCCAGTTTCTCTGCTAATCCCCAGTCCAACACGCTGGTGGCCTTCCATGACAACGGATACCAGGGGATTCGTCGCTGCCTGTTCCGTCTGCGCCCGGAGTAAGGCCTCACACCAGGCCCCTGCCGGATTGCTGCACCCCCTTCCCATCCCTCACCGCCCGTGGTCGCATGTGGCGGTCGACTTCATCACTGGCTTACCCCCCTCGGAAGACAACACCGCTATACTGACCGTGGTTGACCGGTTCTCCAAGGCAGCCCACTTCGTCTCCCTTTCCAAGCTACCTTCCGCACTGGAGACCGCCAACCTGCTGGTTACCCACGTCTTCCGCTTTCATGGCATCCCGATGGATCTTGTCTCTGACAGAGGTCCGCAGTTTTCCGCCAGAACGTGGAGGGCGTTCTGCCAGGCGTTGGGGGCATCAGCCAGCCTTTCTTTGGGTTACCATCCTCTGGCCAGACGGAACGGGCAAACCAGGATCTGGGGGCGGCCCTGCGTTGTGTCACTGCTCGACATCCTGCTTCCTGGGCCACACACTTCCCCTGGATTGAATATGCTCACAACTCCCTGGTCTGCTCCGCCACAGGTATGTCCCCTTTCATGGCAGCTAATGGTTTCCAGCCTCCTCTGTTCCCTTTTCAGGAGACTGACGTGGCAGTGCCATCCATCGTGTTCGTCGGGTCTGGCGCGAGGCCCGGGCAGCCCTCGTCTGCACTGCGGCCCGCGATCAGCGAGTGCCGCAGCCGGGACAGATGGTCTGGCTATCATGCCGTGATCTGCCCCTCCAGACTGAGTCCCGTAAACTGACTCCGAGGTATATTGGGCCATTCGAGGTTGACCGGATCATTAACCCTTTGGGTATAAGACTTAAACTCCCCCGTCGCTATGGATTCACCCCACTTTTCATGTCTCTCTCCTCAAACCAGTGTCCACCAGTCAACTAAGTCCTCCTGCAGAGTTCCCCCCACCCACCCTTGACATTGATGACCACCCGGCGTACACAGTAAATAAGGTTTTGGACGTACGCCGGCGTGGTCGAGGCTACCAGTACCTCGTGGACTGGGAGGGTTGCGGTCCAGAGGAGAGACAGTGGATTTCTCGTTCCCTCATCCTTGACCAGTCTATTTTGGATGACTTTTATGAACAGTTCCCGGGCAAGCCGGGTCGGCCCCCAGGTGGCGTCCCTTGAGGGGGGAGTACTGTGGTGATTGTGTTTCTGTTTGTTTGGGTCTTGGCTGTGTTCTCCTGTGTTTGTGTGCGGCAGGGGGTGTGGCTGGCTGTTGGCGGCAACTGGACGAGGCACACCTGCATCCAATCATCCTCCTCCATATAAACCTGGGCCACTCCGAACTCTCGTGTGCATCATCACCCGGCTCTTCGTCCTCCCCGTTGCCAGGATCCTCGCCAGCTCATAAACTTTTCACATATCTAACTACAAACCTCTCCTTGTCTGCTTTGGGTCCCGAACCTTCACCTAAACCTAACAACTAGAAGCTGGCATTGTAGCAATCTGTCATTCAAAGTGTCCGTGTCCTTAACTATGCTTTATTTTAAGCCTAATTATTATTTAGTTAATTAACCGTTTACCGTTGACGTGTTCAGATTATTAGCTCCATCAATCACTGTTTCCCCACCAACTCTTAAACATTTAAAAAAACAATAATTTGGGCATTTGAACATTGGTCTCCAAAGGAGGCTCCGACAATTTTCGCTTTTATGCTTTTTCTCCCCATATCTAATCTCAAATAATTAATACTGACCCACAATGGGTCCTCCTTCAGCGTGGGAACCGGCCGTGCTAGAGACTGCGGCCGACCAACATCCCTCAGACACTGGGATAAACTGCCAAGAGGTCTTTGGCTGGGGTAATGGCGGCCTCAAGCTTCGGTGGGCAGTGGTAGCAGACCCACGCCAATGTCCGGGGTGGCAGACCCTTCAGATGTGGTCATTAACTACTTACAGGCACGGTGTCATGTAGACTGTTGGCTCGTCAGTGACTGTAGAATGAAGCCTGACTGAGGGCGCTCACACAGGTCGGTGTCGACTAAGGCTGTCTCAAGCAAGGAAACCCTAACTGTTCAAAGAGGGAGTGGGGGGGCACAACTTGTGTCTTCAAAGAGTTTAACCAAACAGTAAATGCACACACGCACACACAACTTGAATCTTGTTGTGTTAGATGTTTCATTATTTGGCATAGTTGTTTACAGAGTTCATCCTTTGGAGAGTTCGATGAGATCCATGGAGGATGAAGTAGTCTGATAAAAAACCTCCCACCGACTCTCACAGATCACTTTGCAGTCCGTGTGTTTGCCGGATCACACCAGAGCATATCAAGGTCAGATACTGAAGACTGAGAGACAATCTAGTGCTGTTTATGTCAGATATTTGTTATTACCTCACTGCATACATTATCAATGGATTATAGATCTAATGTGACTTATATAACTTTTGGTGGGCATGTGGAAGTGCATAAATATAGATATCTTTATTTTGTGCTCATGTTTACGGTGTATATTTTAGTAATTAACAGTAACTTCACGATTATTGGCATCATAATGTTTCACAAAAACCTGCATGAGCCAATGTACATTTTCATTGCAGCTTTGTTAATCAACTCTGTTCTTTTCAGCACTGCTATCTACCCAAAGCTTTTGATTGACTTCTTATCAGAAAAACAGATCATATCTTATCCAGCATGTCTCTTCCAGTGGTTTTTATATTACTGGTTAGCCGTTTCAGATTTCTTTCTCTTGTCGGTTATGGCCTATGACAGATATGTGTCTATATGTAACCCTCTGCAATATCCAACCATCATGCAAGAAAAAAAAGTTAACATTTTCCTAATTTCAGCTTGGATTCTGCCTGCTTGTCAGACTTCAGGAGCAATGTTACTAAGTGCTAAAAAAGAAATCTGTACATTTCATTTGAAAGGAATACTTTGCAACAGCACAGTTCAAACACTTCACTGTGTGAGATCAACAATATTAAATATATACGGTTTGTTTCTTCTTGTTACTTTTTTATTCCTCCCCGTGCTCTTTATACTATTCACATACAGCAGGATACTTGTTGTATCATATCGATGTAGAGGAGTTAGGGGAAGAGCTGCACAGACCTGTTTACCCCATCTGCTGGTTCTAATCAACTTTTCCTGTTTAACTACATATGATATACTTCTTCCTCGAATGGAACTCGATTCTCCAAAAATTGTACGATTAATAATGACTTTACAAGTTTTAATATATCACCCTCTTTTTAATCCAATCATTTATGGACTAAAGATGAGGAGAATTTATGATCACCTTAAGAAGCTCTTCTGCAGAATGGTGTAGTGGTGTGTGTCTAGGTGTGCTGGGAAGCACAAGGTCGGTGGTTCGAGTCCAGGCTGCCCCATGTTCCATGTCGAAGTGTCCCTGAGCAAGACACCTAACCCCTAATTGCTCCCCAGGCAAAAATGTGAAAAAGGCATGGGTTTAAAGTGTAATGTAAGTTGCATTGGATAAAAGTGTCTTCTAAATGACCTGTACTGTGATGTTTTGTGAAACACAGAAATGTGAATATTGTAAACATTTAAAAACTTGGTTTTCAAAACATTAATGCACACTGAATCTTACACTTTGGTTCATCATTACATTGTGTATGTGTAAGCATATTTTAACCATTTTGTTTTTACTTATATGACCATTCTCTTCAAGTGTTTTACAAGTTATAGTAGTCTTAAATACGCACGCGATCCGATGACATAAGCTTTCATAAATCCTTAGTGGGCAAACTAGACAAATACTGTTGATAACAAAGGGAAGTATCAACATATGGTAAGTAGTGCAGTGAGTTGTGATCAGAAAAATATTGTTATATTATGGAAGAGGGTAGGGGGTTGTGATTAAATAAATGCATGTCAATATTTTAATCAAATAACCATTAAAACATGTTGTGGAATATTTCAATTAAAGCTCGGTAGAAGAGAATGATTTGTCTGATAAAACAGAGTCTTGATGAATGGTCAAAGTTGCAAAAAGTCCATTTATTGCTTGCAAGCAGGAGGTCAAATGCACAGGCACGTATCACGGTGCTCTGTGGAAATGGCGTCTCCGAGCACTCACGACGCTGAGTTTTTATACACATGTGAAGAACATTCTCCGTGCCAGCTACGAGAAGCTGCAAAGCCGGTTGAGATAAGAACCCAGGTGAAGCTGAGGGTAGCACACACACACACAAGATACTCCTCAGTGGCCGGTGCAAATCATAATTAATTGACATTAAAGTAAAACTTGGATCCAGAACTTTCGTACAGAATAAGATATCAACCAAGGCCATGAACAGGAGTCCTTTGTTTTGAAGCTTCTATGTGATCGAGTCAACCGTCCTCCCTTCTTAGGGCACAGCTGCAAACTAACATTTTGTATCATGCTGCTCTTTGCACATCAGGGTCAAATACAGGACACTTGAGACACGGCTTTAGCACAAGACAATGTTATAACATATTTTTACCATTACATTCCACTCTTTTGATTATTCTTTAATCACACATAATATTGCAAAAAAAATATGTTTTTGTGAAACCATATCTTGTGTTTAGCAAGCAAGTGTAAACCACTCTTTAGATAGCTGATTAGAAAATCACAAAAAGATACTTAGATAATGAAACTGAAGCAAGCAATAATATGAATAAAACCGTAATGACACAAACGACTACTGTGTCTATGTGGAGGGGTCCTGGCCGTGTTCTTCTTCTTGTGTTGGTCCGCAGCTACACGTTGGGATGTGGAGTCTGCCAACCTTCTTTCTTGTGAGGCACCCGCGTTGTAGACAGTCAACACAGATCACAATGCACTGTGTGTCTGTCGGTCAACTGCCTGTTGTGAACCCGTCCGTGGTCACTGCAACGGTGGTGTCTGTTGATTGACACTTGTTGTGGGGGTAGGGTCGCCTGAGCCCACTGATGGTACTGGATCTGGAACCTTCTTGCAATGGGACGCGTGGACCCAAGTTGCCTTCTCAGCTACTTTGACAGCTGTTTGGGTGACAAGGAGGATCTGGAATGGTCCCTGCCAGCGTCGTGCTTTTCAGTTTTTTTATCCTGAAGTCTTTCTCCACCACAAAGTCACCAGGTTTCAGTTTGTGGAGTGGTCCTTCAGCTGGTTTTGGGAGGGCGGCTGCAACCTGTTGTCGTATGTTAGACAGAGCAGAAGACAGTTGTGCACAATATTTTAACATTTCATGTTCGCATAATGCGGTTGAAGGGAGTGGTGCCGTCAGTGCCTCGGTTCCTACGTGAGGAGGAAAACCAAACAATATCTCAAAGGGACTCAGGTTGCTTCGTGTTCGTTTTCTCATGCACATGTACATCAACACTAGAGGCAGGGCTTTTGTCCAGGGCAGACCTGTGTCTGCACAGCATTTTGCCAATTTGGTTTTGAGTGTGCCATTTTCTCGTTCCACAGCCCCTCCACTGGCTGGATGGTATGCACAGTGTGTTTTTAAATCAATACCCAGGTATGCGCTTAATTCTGTAATGGCCTGGTTGACAAAATGAGAACCATTGTCACTTGATATTTTAGAAGGAATGCCCTATCGAGGAATGATTTCAGAAATTAGGGCCTTGGCTACTGTTGCAGCGGTTTGTTTGCTTGATGGAAAAACCTCCACCCACTTGGAAAACATGTCCACCATCACTTGACAGTGTTTCTTACCTTGTGATGGAGACAACTCCACAAAATCCATCATAATGTGCTCAACGGGCGGGTTGGTGGTGGGTGTGCAGCCTGGCTGGACACGCCCACGGGCCCGCCTACATTGTGAGTAGGTGACACATGCAGAACAAAATTTTTGTGCATATGCTGTGAACCCTTTTGTAAACCACGTCTCATTAAGTGCACGTAACATTCCCCCTTTTGACACATGGTCTAACCCATGAGTCAACTTAGCATAATGAGCAAAATAGCGTTTAGGTAAACACGGCTTGCCGTCGGGTCCAGTACAGATACCGTTGGTGTAAACACAGCCAGATGTGGACCAAAGCCGTCTTTCATCAGGGGTAGAGAGTGACTGCATCGCTGTAAGAGAGGAGGGAACTGACTCCTCAGAGCACATGAGAGCACAGGTAGTGGGAAGCGGAAGCAGAGCAGCAGCTTTTGCAGCCGAGTCTGCTCGAGCATCATATATACATCATCCGTATTGGACGTGTGGGCTGCACATTTACAGACAGCAATTGCTGTGGGTAGCAAGATGGATTCCAACAGTTCAGCAATGAGAGTGTGATGTAGGATGGGCTTACCGTCCGATTTAAGGAAGTTCCTGTGTTTCCACAGCACCCCAAAATCATGTACTACACCAAAGTGAGTCAGAAACAACAGCAAAACCAACACGATTTTCACCAGACTGAGGATCGCGGGAGGCGGATCCATCCACATACATTACCATGTCGCTTTTAGGCAATGGAGTGTCCACTAGGTCAGGGCGAGGAGTGCACTGAGCTTGGAGCTCAGCCAAACAGTTGTGGTCCTCCCCATCCCCGGGAATAGGAAGTAATGATGCAGGGTTAAGGTTAGTACAACGTTTATAGTGACATTCGGCATGTCCAGGAGACACGTGTGGTAACGCAAATAGCGAGCCGCAGAGAGGTGAGATGATTTATGTTCAAGGAGAATCAAAGAAACCGCGTGCGGAACGAGCAGAGTGAGCGGTGCGTAACCCACTATGTCAAGTGAGGCAGTGAGCGCCTTTTCAGCCGCGGCCACAGCGCGCAAACATTGTGGCAGTCCTGCAGCGACAGGGTCGAGTTTTGTGGAGAAATACGCAACAGTGTACACAGTGAGTTCTGTGAAACCCTGTAGAGGCGGAGAGCAGAACGAGCGGATCGATTGTCTCCTCCCAGTCAGTGAGAGATTCACACTGAGCCACAAATGGTCCCAAATCCCTCCATTGGTCAAGGCGTCCTTTAGACAGTGAGACATGGGGATAGGTCCATTTCCAAGTCTTTAACTTTGATCTTTTTACCACTTTTCAAAAAAAAAAAAAATCCTTTCTTCCAAATCCCCTCTTAACATTTTAAGTTTAGCGGCACTCAACGAGCCGTTTTCTGGAAACCCAAACTCTTTTGTCCAGTATGGGAGACACTCTGTACATGTTTTCCCGTATTTCTGCTGCATCATTGCCACAATCGGACCCGACGTTCCGTGTGTTTAGCGGACTGGCCACCCATCTTTTACTGGTGGACCCTACCGGTTTACTTATTACAATACAGTCGTCACCGTAAGGCTTAGTTTCTTTACTCAAGGAAAAACTTTGCAAAAACCCCACTCAAAACTCACGCTTCGATTTTGCCACGATCTTGTTCTAAAGGTAATTCAGTAGAACTCACGTTTGGTTAACAATAACAGCGATATCGTTTTACCTGCTTCAGCATAAAATTGACGTAGGCTATTTCCACGATCTTATTCCACAGGTGGAATTCACGTTTGGTCAATAGCAACGGTCTTATTTTACCCGGGTGGTCAAGCGATCTGCGTTACGATCACGGAGAATTTGTTCCGAGTGAAATCTTTACCGTAAGCAATCCTGTCTTCTACTTGTAGTGTAGCGATGTTACGATCTCGGAGAATTTGTTCCGAGTGAAATCGTACACTATCCTATCTACCTTCGCATAAAATGATGCATTAGAAATATCCCGGAATCATGTACTCAAAAAAATATTAAAAAATTATAATAAGAAAAAAAAAAACCAAAATGTTAAAAAATTATTGTATTCCCCAGACTATAACAACCACTTTTTCAGTCATCCGTCTCCGTTATGTTCAACTCTTACTGTTACTTTATAATTGGAATTTCAACTTCTTACCCGAGTTTGTAGAAATTAATTCTTTTTCGCTGGATACACGTGACGTCAATCAGGACTCCTCTGGTTTCCGCCAGTCCTTTCTCTCTTGTCTAAGGAGGTATGAGGCAGGATCATCAGCTGGTGATCCTGGAAAAGGCCTTTTCCCCAGACGGTCCCCTGGAGCCTGACGGACGGTCAGTGAATCCTGTTCGTGACGCCAAATTGTTGTGGAATATTTCAATAAAAGCTCGGTAGAAGAGAATGATTTGTCTGATAAAACAGAGTCTTGATGAATGATCAAAGTTGCAAAAAGTCCATTTATTGCTTGCAAGCAGGAGGTCAAATACACAGGCACGTATCACGGTGCTCTGTGGAAATGGCGTCTCCGAGCACTGACGCTGAGTTTTTATACACATGTGAAGAATATTCTCCGTGCCAGCTACGAGAAGCTGCAAAGCAGGTTGAGATAAGAACCCAGGTGAAGCTGAGGGTAGCACACACACACACACACACACACACAAGATACTCCTCCAGTGGCCGGTGCAAATCACAATTAATTGACATGAAAGTAAAACTTGGATCCAGAACTTTCGTACAGA